TTTCGCCAGGCGCACACACCTCAGATAATGGTGCTGTCAGGAGCGCATTGAACAACATCAATCATACGCACTGTGGTACACTCCGGCATACAACACGTTGCCATCTTGCGAGTGACGTGACTCGGGGCCGGGCATTTCTCTCCAATCTCTTTGCCGTGGCCACCTTTGACATATCCCAGGGAATGGGACTGGATCTGGATAGTTCGCCCTGGGGTGGGGGGTCTGTTCATTTGCCTGTTGCCACTTTGTTTTTTCTACGCTTTGATTAATGGCATCTGAAGTGACCTTGATTTCGGTGTATGCCACGCCCAGCATACTCCCAACATATCCCACACGGCAATGCAATTAAGTTCATATTCATATGATAGTGTTGTGGGCGGTTGGGGTTGGCTTTAATTAATATAATACTTGAGCCTGAATAATTGATGCATTCGTTTAGAGAGAGTATCTTCCTTTGACACCTTTGGTGATACACTCCGGTGTTTACCCAGCCCAGGTACTCTGCTTACTTTCATCACAATTCATCAAGCTAATAAGTAACCGTAAGCTGATAGCCGCCAGGACATGTGTGGGCTAGGCAATGTCCTGGCTGGAGCCCTGTCCTGGGCAAATTGCGTAGACGTTTCTAATAATAACTGTGCGCACTTTCTAATTGCTTGCTGAAACGACAGCCAGCGACACAGGCAACAAAGCAAATACTCACATTATCACAATTCCGACACGTCAACACGGTCATGTCAGCGGGTCCTGGTCAAAGGGCCCTGTGACAGCAGATGTACCACAACAGCAACAAGCAAACAAATTAGGTTTCTAATTATCAACAAAAACACATCTGTCTGGATAAAATATGAGTGACAAATCCGACACTTGAAATAAGCCAGATAAACTAAATAGTAAACATAATCATTATTAAAGGTCCTTAAATTGAATCGAAAACTTTTCCCATTGCTAATCTTTTTGGACCTTTAACTCCTTAACTTTTTTAGATGGTCACTTATAATTTCCCTTGACTTATTATGCCACTTTCTTGCCCGATTTGGTCTGGAGATGCCAATCTAACTGCGGTGGCTGTAATTAGAAATCTCCAGCATTCTTAGACGGAGAAACCAAATACTCTGATTTATGGTTCCAGGACTCAGGGACAGGACCTGAAGCGGGGGAAAATGTGTGCTCGATGGGCGCGTTTAATATCCCGTCATTTGATTACTCAATGCGAGTCAAGTGGGTAGCACGTCTTCGTCTCCATCTCCATCTTAGGCAGCGGGTGGCGGCATGTACGGCTCACCACTTCCGGCTGTCTTGTTAGCCGGCTCCGCATCGCATGGCATGGCTTTGCATCCCGCCTACTAATTGAGTAATTTATGCGTGTTTGTCGTTACGCTTCCGCCATTCCGGCGTAGAAGATGCCGAGACCCTTTTGCATTTCCGTCTCGAAGCCAAGCCGCCCCCTTACGAATTGCTCGCAAAAGCCATTTAAGCCCGACGGCGCGTTATCTACGTCGAATGGCGAATGGTGAATGGCGAATGCTGAGTCCTGAATTCTCAATCCTGGCATAGCCAGAACCCCACAAATTCCGACGACATTTTCGCCAGTCAGCTGGATCTTGTTTGCACGGGTCTTCAGCCACTTTCCATGGATTTGGCCACCCAGGGTCTGTGTGTTTGTCGCAGCAAATTCATAAAACGTGACAAGAAATGCAAAATGATTCCACACCGTGTCTGCCTACCTGTCCTGATTGAAAAAGGCAAAAACAACGACACGGCTAACCAAAGTTAGAGGCCTGCTAAATTAATTTGACATTTCTTGCGGCGGGTATCCGGTGACGTTGTGCCCTCGGGCGCAGATTTCCGACAGTGATTTATGCCGAAAAAGAGTTCGGCCCTTGATTAGCCCAAGGACTTGATGTCCCTGGCTGGGAATTTCTTGTTTTGAATAAAATTTAAAATATAAAGTAGTACGCCCTAAAGAAGTGTATTATTTATCTTTTGTTTGTATGGTTCAAAAATAAAAGTTGTTAAACAAAAACCTTAAAATGTGGATATTAAAGTACTGCAAATGATAATTTTCAATTATTCGTCCTTCATTTTGTATCCATTCTTAAACAAAGTTCACTAAAGTATGCAAGAAATGCAGTTTTTGTTTATTAATTGACTCTTTAGTGAGGTGACCCCGTAACTTATGCCAACTATTTGAAGCAAAGCTAGGAGAAACCCTCAAACAAAGGCTTCGGTTAGTTAAACTTGAGAAATGTCAGTAGTTTTTGAAAACCATTGAAATGAGGAATTGAGCAAGAGGAATCCTGTGAATCCTTTTGAATCCTGTTGTTTTTGTGTCTTGGCCCGAAAGACGACAAGCAACGTCGTCCGCTGATTTTAAGAGCAAATTTTATTGTCCGATTGCTGCGCTCCTCCTAAAAGCCCTAATGTTATGGCCATAAAACTGAAAACCTTTGCTTGCAGTTCCTAGCCCTTCCAATAAATTTCCCATGTATTTTTAATGTTCTATGCAAAACTTTCAGCATCCTGTCGGTAATGTTCTGTCCAGCATTTGGCTTATTATATTGCTGCATCAGCTTTTTGCGTTTTTTTCCCCATTGTTTTCGATGCTGTGACTTTTTATATTTTGCTGTACAATTTTGCTCGACTTTTAGGGAATATTTTAAAACGTTTTCCAGGTGTGACTGAATAGTTTTTGATTTGATGAGACTAAAATTCAATTTACTGAAAAGTTTTTAAACAATTTCCCTACAAATAAATACACTAATTAATCTGTTTCTATTAATTTAAGTTAGTTGATGCTTTAGATATTTTAAAGATAATTTAGAAACGACCCTCGCTTTGTGTTTCAAGTCATTTCATTATGGCATACTAATGACATTTTGGTTTTCCATTTTTTTTTTTGCAATTTGTGCAGATTTTTTGTGTTTTAAAGTGGGCGTGACAAGTTAAGGCTCTTGAATGCGAAAAATTTCTTTTGTACCAAAGTTGACAACAACAAAGTTGTTGGCCTCGAGGGCCTCGAGGACAAATGGCCCACACAAAAGGTTTAGGGATAAAAGGGTTTCACTTCTTATTATTATTTTTGTTTTCCTTTTATATGTACCAGGGAACTCTGTTATTGCCGTTGGTGTAACAAATATGTCGGGCTGTTTTATTCATTAGGAAGTAACTCTTTTGTTTTCCGGGCCACCTCGCTGACAAATGATGTTCGTCAGGTGATGGTTTTTCCAACCTCTTTATCCGTCATCCAGTCATTTGGCGGAAAATCTCATAGCTATTTGGCTAATGAGTCGGGTCCCTGGCCGAGTTTCGGTTTCTAATTAAAGTGGCAGGATGTGTGCGCATCTGTAATTCTTGTCGGCGGTTTTGAAAACGAAAATGGAGCGACGAAACTGCAAGTATTACTCATTTAACAGTTCGCATCAATGTTGATATTAAATTATCGTTAGAAATCTCTTTTATGATTTTCAAATTTGTTTTACCTGCGATTGGAAGCCTGTTACACTCAGCATGACGACCTGCTTTCAGAGCTAAATAGCAATTTGCAGTATCATGCATCAAATTGCAATCAATCATTTGAAATGCAAAACCTAATTTATTATTTTGCCTTATACGTGTTTTACCATCATAAATACTCATCACACAATTTTTAAAGTTTACTAAGAATATCCCTCAAAGCTTAATGTGTGTTACTTATTCACCTCTCATGTCCATTCTGCCCTGTAATTTTTTTTAAGGACAATCTTCCAGTGCCATAAATAATTGGAAACACCTTGGCAATGGCAGGACGGAAATGAAATTCGATTTGTTGACAATGTTTGAGTTTTAACATTTTGTTAGGTGGGTAGGTGGTGGGATAAGGGACCCTGAACTTTGGAACAAAGTCGTTTTCAATTTAAGTTCTTTTGCCTGGCAAATATTTCATTTCATACTTAGAAAACATTTTGAGCTTGTTAAAATGTTATCGGGGGCTTAAGGACCAACCGAAAGCCACTTTCAATGCCGGGGCCCTGCCAAAATAGCACTTAGAGGGCAAATATTTGTTTGCGATTTAAATACGCCTTAAGCGACTTGTCAAGCCCCGATCTAGATCCGAAGTCCCGGGGCCAGGACTCATTTGCATAGCTTACAAAACTCCCGAGCACACGCCCCATTTCAATTTTAAGCCATAAATCCACAACACATGCCAAGAGTTGAAAATTGAGATCTGTATATACTGAAATAGAGAAACGTGATTTAAATAGAAATCTTCTAACATAATTATTACTTTTTGGAGAAAGAATGGTTCAAGTAGTCTGACAATTGTGATATATTTTCTTGAAAATAATTAATATGAGATACTCCTACCAGCATTCCAAGGATGAAAAGCAACTGGTGGCTTCTTCACAGCCACCTGACGTGCCTCGAGGCAAACAAATTGAAATTTATCGGTTGACCTTATTTGGGTTCTTATTTATGCCATTGGACAGGAGCTGCGAACGGGTAAGCATACGAGTATTTAACGCCGGTCGACAGCTTTACACGACTCCAAAGAGCCACGGCCATGAAAAGGACATTTATAACCAGGACAATGACAAAGAAAAAGCCAATGGCCATGTGCAGCCACTTGGCTGATGGCACTTTCCCCCAGGCCATGGCGCTTTTTTCAATCTCCACTAATTTATGTCAATTTGGATATTTATGTGACGCACTGCGGTGCCCAGTCCCTTGTCCCCATCCCGGCCATCCCTCCACTGGAACAGGCCGAAACTCCATTAGTCCCGAGTACGCGATTCTACGGATTTTGGTACGAAGCAATGGGACGAGAAGCGTTTCCTGCGCTGCGCCACATGCTGCGTAATTACAATTTGTTATCGCTTTAATTTAATATTGACGCATGATGCATATAACAGCACGCAACGGTGTCCTTGTGTGCGACTCCGCCGACTGGAAGTATATTAGCTCGCCAGGATGAGCCTTATCCCGGTGGGCCGAGAGGTTAAAAATAACAACCAATAAAATTGCAGAAATAATGTCGAATATATTTGTTGTTGGAAATTCTACATGTGGGGGTATATATGGATACGAATATTGTTGAATTATATAATTTTGTTATATAAAATATATATAAAATATATTATCAGTAGATATTAAGTAAAAGTGTTTGATAAAAAGTAAAATTCAATATTCTATTTAATTCAGTCCTCGTACAATCTTATCATCATTTTACTCCTCTTATATGGTTTTCCATACCAATTAATAGAGGTGTTTCTTATATACAATGGGACATTTAAATTTCTGAAAAATATAACATGTTAGAATTTTATTCTGATATCATACCAAATAATCACTTACCCTCCCTTTTCTCTAGGACCTTTCCACCACCGCATCTCTCTACTTACAGAATTAGTATCCCCAATTTGGTAATGAGTTTTCTGATTTACATGATGTCTTAAAGCATCACCGGCGTTTCCCTCGTATTCACCTAGGGCACTCAATTTGTATCCACTTTCCTTGCCATCCACAACAAAGTTATCGTACCTCGCGTACTTTTTCTCATCTTCGTAGTTAGTTAGTTCAATGTATAATTCGTGCCTGCGAATGGTCGTTAGTATATGCAGTCTTTCAAACCCGATCCAAAATTCCAAGTCGGGACAACCGATGGGCGCTTCAAAATTGGTCAGTGGATTTATATTCAATTTTCCCATGAAACGGTTTTGTATCACCAACCAATGCTTAGTACCAGTACCTTCAAGAATCTGAAGTGACAGCACAAAATTGTCGAATCCCCAATCAAACAATTTCATTTTGGTTTTACCTTTGTTGGACAAATTTTCTTTTACACGACCATTATAATAAAATGTATAATCTTTTTTTGGGTCAAATTTTAGTTTCGCTATTATTGCGTCTTTCTCGCTTATTGTTTTTTCAAGAAGTTTTACTTTTGAAGGTAATACCTTCGAACCTTCAATTGCACGATCTTTAGGAGATGCATGGTTTTCCATTTCCATTATTTTCACTTCATAGGATTTGGCTCGATCTTCCAGTTCACCGATCATTATGTCCTTTTCTTTTATTTTAGTTTCTAGAACTGCTACATTACTGATTTGTTGATTTAGTGCTATTTCGTTGTTCTTGGCCTTGGCTTCCATTATCTCAATTTTTTCTTGTAAAGTTTGAAAATCCTTAGCGTTTTTCCGCCAATTATTATCTAAATTGTTTTTTTCAGATTCATCTAACGTAGTTTGGAGCATTGCTATTTTATTTTTCAAAAGTTTTATGGTTTTGTCGTTGAAACTAATCAAATCGTCTTTGTCTTTGCATTTTCCCCGGTAGAGGCTTACCAATTTTTCAAGTTTTCCCAATTGTTTCCTTTTTTTTATAATTTTTCGTTGATAATTGTTTATTTTTTCTTCCAAATCTGTTATGCTCATATTTCTAAAGTTTAGGCTACGTTCTTCGGAAGAATCGCTGACTATCTATCGTAAAATATATAAAAATAAAAAGACGAAAAGTAAGCCAATTATTTTCCTTACCGAAGTATCAGAATCATCCACCATATTTCGATGCGAATTAGATGTAGAACTTATAATTGCAATATTTAGTGCGCAACGCTCGTGGTAATTTTTGTAACTATTATGGGGAAATGGGTGTCAGCGATTTAAGGGCAGATAAAGACTGTTGCCTTATCAATAAATAGTGTAGACGCTAGTGGAGACCCCTAAAATCTACACAGCAAATGCAATCTAATCTTTAGCGGTTGAAAAATGCAATTTTTTTGCATTCGTCACTATTGTGATGTGTAATGTAATGTGTCAAGTAAGGAGGAACAATTTGTTAAATAGTTCGTTTTTACTCTACAATTTATTGTACTTCCATAAAATTGAAATAAATATAACCTTTTTAGTTGCCCAAAGTAACATTCTGTTAAATATTTAACCCACTTTCGTTTTTGATGTATCGAAAAGAATTTTGAATGCATCAAAACTGATGCACTTTAAATTTGCATCTTTAATGCTCCTGACGGATTAGATGCCAATTAAGAGGCACGTGTACCAAAAGCCAAGTGCCCCAGTGTGTCTCACTAATTGCGAATGGGAGGCGTCCTGCATCTTCCGCATATCATTCTAATGTAAAATGCATGGGCTTAATAACATTTCCATGTCTGGGCGATATTGAAATGTTGTGCTCTTGTTCGCCCCGGCAATTAAGTGCAAGCTGCGATACGGGATATGACTTTGGCTATGTACGAGTATGTCTACGGCTCCTTGACATTTGCCGTGCACACTCGGATTATATTGAATGTTAAGCCACAGCCACCGGCTCGGCAATATTAGCGGTATATGACAAACAGCGAGGACTAAGCCAGTGCCAAGCCAGCACAAAGTACCACGTTCCTGTGGTGGCATCAAACAACAGCAATGGGTGTGCCACTTCGACCGAATTTCCACTGAAAAATATATTCCCAAATGTCAAAAATATTAAACCATTATTTTGGATAACCCTTATATACTTTCTATATTTCCTATGAAAGTAAAGAATACTGATACTGATTTATAAACTAGTACACTTTAAAATTTCCATACGAACTTTTTTTTAAGAAGTTCATTTGGAATTGAGGTTTATAGTATAATGATTCTGTCCGTGTTATTAAAGTTTGCTTGGGGCATTATGAGCTTTAGTTGGTATTTAATTTTAATTACTCTACGTGTAATACACGTATGAAGCCAAGGGTTTAACGGGAATGCTGTTGAACTCGAAGCAATTGAGTTTCCGATTCGGTTTTGCGGTTATCACGAGCGATTAGAAGGCTCTTCTTGGTGAAATTAGGGCTGGGAATGCACTGAAATGACTTTGACTTTGGAGTTTAAACATTCAAAGGCATCTATATTTAATACATGCTAAAAAATGCAAGATTTTCACTGGAACGGGCTTATTTAGGTTAATTATTATTTGTCGTCTGGCAACACGAGGAAAAATTGACAGCTTGCAAAGCTTGGCAGCACCATCTCTTTCTTAATGAACTTTTTCTGGAAGATTGATCTATTCCTAATTTGATTTTAACTATTTCTTGTATCAATTATGAGTGAAGACCGTCAAAATGATAAGGTAGGTCCAACCTAATTCAAGGATTCACATTGAATACATTGTATAGAACAATGCCACATATTTTCAGGACGATTAGATTATCAGCAAAGAAGAAGAAATCCAACAATTTAAGAACGAACTGTACTCCGTGTCCAAAAAAACTAAATCAGAAGGATGAAATAATCAAATCCTTCAAAGATTCATTTGACACAATCTAATATGTACATATTTAGATTATTTATACATATATAATTCTTATTTTCAGCACCATGAACGCCGAATGTATGCTACTTCTTTCTGGGGAACTAATTAACTAACAATCACACTGGATAACAATTATAGAATTTTTTTTAATTATTTATTTTATGTCATGACTAGAAACAATATGCTTCCTTTTTTCAAAAATAAATGCATTGTAACCTTGAAGAGGGTTTTGGTATAAAAAAATTATAAAAATTATATATTTTCTTAATCAGGAAAATATTATTATCATATCATTATCATATTTTCTTTATCATTAAACTTAATTTACCATTCGAGAATATTTATGTAATATTATATTTTCAGCAACCTATTTGGCAAATATCTTCATGAACCAACAACAAATGTTTCCATGCACAACTTTTGGTGGGGTTTTAAAAATTTCCTTAAGAAGTGCTATAAATTTATGAATATCGAAAGGGAATAAGTAAGTTTTAACCTAGATTCGTAATAAAAATGTATGTTTATTAATTTTTTCTTACAATATATCCCTTAGACTTAAAGATGCTCCCTTTTTTAAACTATTTTTTACCAGATAATAAATAGTTTAAAAATTCAAAGAAATATATATTCCTTCAAATGTTCACCACGTACAACATGTAACCATTGAAAATATCAAATAAATCATATTAACGTCTTCAGATGGAGATAAATTTTATTTATAATATCCTTTAATTGACGGCAAAGCGGAAATTGCCATTGCGGATTGAGAATTGCAGTCTGGTTTGTGGATTTTAGCTTCTTGTTTGGGGAGTACAAATTCCCCTTGAAGCTGCCAAGCTCAAGAACATTTATGACATTTTTCTTAGCCTCTGTGGCATTGATTGCACTTATGCAATTAATGTCAACGCTGGAGAAAGAAGTGGCGGATGCGAGTGAGGATGTAGACGCCAAGCGATGTTGATGTCGCCTAGAAAATCCATTTAGGTATATATATTATGTACGAATATTCATGTCTTTCGCTCGTACAGCTTCACACAACCTTGAATAAATGCACTTAAGGATGCTGTTGGTGTTTTTATGGCCAAATCGAGGAAGCTGAAAATGCTACTGGGGTACGTGTTTGCTGGCAGGCGGCAGGGCTTTGCGCCAAAATGGCGTCGAGCTTCAGCTTTCGGCTTCCGTTTCCGGTTTCTCGAAAATCGGAATGCAGGCGGCAGCTCTGTGTACCATTAATGGCCTAGGGACAATCGTGTTGCATTCCCCTTCCCGGTATGCCATCCCTGTCATTCTTTACCTTCGTGCGCGCACATAAATTCACTGATATTTTTTCACCTTTTTCATTTATTTGAATGCAAAAAACGACGAGTATTACTCGCACGCTACCACAATAAAATATTAGTTACTCAGCTGTCAGGTAATTTTCCTTTCCTCCTAACGGCTTGCCACAAATGTTGTTATGTTGTAAAAAACTTTAATATTTTAAAATCTAAACAATATATCTATACAAATCTATAACAATATATGAAGGAATGGAAAGGAAATTAAAAACTATAAACCAGTTATATTTTAGATGTTTTCTAAAAGTTTCCGGAGTGACCCCTTCTAAAATTATGAAGACTCCCTTTGGGATCAAAATGATCCACACAAAATGCTATATCTTTGCCAATAATCATCCGATTCTTGAGCGGAATACCTTAAACGATTTGTATATCTATTTTCCATGAATCTGTATCACAATCACAGAATAAAATATTTTTTAGATTTTTTGTCAAATTTTCTGGGGTGTCCCCTTCAAAATGTTGAAAAATGCATGGGTGGTCATTATGGCCCCCTGCGAAGGCCATATCTTTGCCAATAATCATCCGATTCTTAAGCGGAATATCTTAAACGATTTGTAGATCTATTTTCCACGAATCTGCATCACAATCACAGAACAAAATATTTTTTAGATTTTTTGTCAAATTTTCTGGGCGGTCCCCTTCAAAATGTAGAAAAATGCATGGGTGGTCATTATGGCCCCCTGCGAAGGCCATATCTTTGCCAATAATCATCCGATTCTTGAGCGGAATACCTTAAACGATTTGTAGACCTATTTTCCATGAATCTGCATCACAATCTCAGAACAAAATATTTTTTAGATTTTTTGTCAAATTTTCTGGGTCCCCTTCAAAATGTTGGAAAATGCATGGATGGTCATTATGGGCCCCAGCAAAGGCCATATCTTTGTCAATAATCATCCGATTCTTGAGCGGAATACCTTTAACGATTTGTAGATCTATTTTCCATGAATCTGCATCACAATCACAGAACAAAATATTTTTTAGATTTTTTGTCAAATTTTCTGGGCGGTCCCCTTCAAAATGTTGAAAAATGCATGGATGGTCAATGTGGCCCCCTGCGAAGGCCATATCTTTGCCAATAATCATCCGATTCTTGAGCGGAATACCTTAAACGATTTGTAGATCTATTTTTCATGAATCTGCATCACAATCACAGAACAAAATATTTTTTAGATTTTTGTCAAATTTTCTGGGCGGTCCCCTTCAAAATGTTGAAAAATGCATGGATGGTCAATGTGGCCCCCTGCGAAGGCCATATCTTTGGCAATAATCATCCGATTCTTGAGCGGAATACCTTAAACGATTTGTAGACCTATTTTCCATGAATCTGCATCACAATCTCAGAACAAAATATTTTTTAGATTTTTTGTCAAATTTTCTGGGTCCCCTTCAAAATGTTGGAAAATGCATGGATGGTCATTATGGGCCCCAGCAAAGGCCATATCTTTGTCAATAATCATCCGATTCTTGAGCGGAATACCTTAAACGATTTGTAGATCTATTTTCCATGAATCTGCATCACAATCACAGAACAAAATATTTTTTAGATTTTTTGTCAAATTTTCTGGGCGGTCCCCTTCAAAATGTAGAAAAATGCATGGGTGGTCATTATGGCCCCCTGCGAAGGCCATATCTTTGCCAATAATCATCCGATTCTTGAGCGGAATACCTTAAACGATTTGTAGACCTATTTTCCATGAATCTGCATCACAATCTCAGAACAAAATATTTTTTAGATTTTTTGTCAAATTTTCTGGGTCCCCTTCAAAATGTTGGAAAATGCATGGATGGTCATTATGGGCCCCAGCAAAGGCCATATCTTTGTCAATAATCATCCGATT